AGCTGTTCCAGCAAATTTCAGCATTTGGTTGATGGAACCAGATTTCTGGGTGAAAGGTGCTGAGCGGTATATGCTGGAAACGGAATTAAAGCCGTGCTCACTGCTGAACAATGAAGTACCGGAAGCAGATCTGGTGACAATTTTTGAAGAATCTCGACTTCTTCAAGATGTGGACTTCCAAAGCAATGTGCTTGGACTTTATTACGATGGTGGTGAAGTGGCGAAAAGATTAAAATCGCCAGGAATGAGCGTTATTTGTCTTAAGGTACGTAATCAGGAATCGTACGATTGTTTCGTTAGCAATTCGCGGTTATTGCATGCCATCGCGTTTTTCATTAATCTGTTGAAGAAGTAATATATGTTTCAGCTCTGATGAAAGGGCATTGTCATTCATTTTATTCGGGCTTCAAACCACACTGTCATTAAGTGATTTAGGGTAGCACTGGTCGTTTGAGTTATACCGATTTTCCATTCCAAAGGATGAAATAAGTTTCGCTTCGAATTGGGATACGCTAGTTTGCGCTCGAATTATTACTTTTCAGGAGAAGGAGTTCGATATTACAGTGAAAAATTCGGACAGCAATTACATAATCTGTGCAGTCTGCATTGAAATTGCTCCAGACAAATGCCCTTCGAGTGTCGCTTTGTTCGGCAGAAAAATTAGCCTCCAAACAAAAACTCTACGAACGTTCGACGTAGCACTGACGCGTAGACAGTCCATCACATGGTAATTCATTTATTTCAGTCTTGAAATTTCTTACGAATTTTATCAGAGGAGTTCTTGAAAAGTCGAAGTCTGAATTATTTACTGCTGTTTTTTGTATTCGTGAATTGCAAAAAACACACGCAGAAAAAATTGCTAGTCAGTATTGTCGGAAAATCGCTCTCATGTAAGAGCTACATACGGTGCTCAATGATGAGCGCACAGCTCTCAGTAGCCCATGATTAATTACATTACTGTTCCATGCAAACTGAGATAATACATCTTATGGAGACTGAGAGAAAGGATGAAATACCACCTGACCATTGTAACAAATCGGGTTGGAGGAACTGATGAAGCAGGATGAGGGAAAGAGCTGAAATCGTGCGGGATCAGCTATGGCGTAAGATTCGCGTAAATTTCCTGTACGATTGGATCTTAGTCTGATTCCAGGCTTGGATTAGTGGGCTAAAAAACAACTGAATTAAGGCAGTAACTTAATTTTGACTTACACGTGCTGCTTGCGATTTAGAATTTTCCTTATCCACGTAGAATGAGCGATTAAGTCACTCACCGTGTTTGCTCGAGTTCTCTTTTAAATCGAGCTTGCGCCTACACAGTCACCAGCCTACTTCCAAGCGCCTCTTTCCGT